AAGCCATGGTAGGTAGGACTGGTAGTTCTTGCAAGAACTTATCTAAGTGCCTCTTGAATACATCCACCTTTGTTCCAGCATTATGTATAATGCTTGCTGGAAGGGTGTTGAACAGCTGTGGACCTCTGATGTTCAGTGTTCTCTGATTGTGCCTATGGCACCTCTACTCCTCACTGGTTCTAGTCTGCATTTCCTTCCGTACCTTTCGCTCCAGTATGTTTTTATTTCACTGTGCAAATTTGGTACCTGGCCTTCAAGTATCTTCCATGTATATACTTTTGATACCTTTCTCGTCTCCTTTTCAAAGATTACATTTTGAGAGCTTCGAGACGGTCCCAATAATTTAGATGTTATACGTGCCGTATATGTTCTCTATATGCCTTCTAATTCAGATATCTCTCCCGCTCTGAAAGGGGAAGTGAGTACCGAGCAGTACTCAAGGCGGGACAGCATCAGTGATTTATATATTATTATCATTGCTGTGGGTCTCTGGATGTGAACGTTCTCATAATCCATGCTATCATGTTCCTGGCCGCCGCTATATTTGCTCGGTTATGTTCACTAAATGTCAGGTCGTCAGATATCATAATTCCCAGATCTTTTACATGTTGCTTTCCTTCTATGAGCAGGTCTGACTGTGTCTTGTACCCTGTGTTTCGTTAAGGTTCTTCACTTCCACCATACCTCAATAGTTGGAACTTGTCACCGTTAAATATGTTATTTTCCGTTTCCCAATCGAAGATTATTAATATCGGCTTGAAGTTTTTCAGTGTCTTCTACAGAGGAAAATTTTGCTGATTTTGTATCACCAGCAAAGGATAACACGAAGCTGTGGCTAGTATTTTGTCTATATCCGAGATAAGAATGAGAAAGAGCAGTGGTGCAAGGACTGTGCCCTGAGGGGCTTGACAGCTGAGTGGACAGCGCTTCAGATTCGCAGTCCCGAGGTTCCGGGTTCGATCCTCGGTGAAGGCGGAAACAAATAAGCAGAGTTTCTTTTGCCCTGATGCGCCTGTTCACCTAGCAGTAAAGAGGCACCTGGGAGTTAGACAACTGGGCTGCTTCCTGGGGGTGTGTAACAAAAAGGAGGCCTGGTCGAGGACCGGGCCGCGGGGACGCTATGCCCAATCATCTCAAGATAACCTAGGGTTCAGAGCTTTTTATACACTTGCACTTGATTTGATCGACTATCCACATTCTGTTTGATACAAAGTTGAAAATACGACGCCCCACTTTATCCGTTATTCCTATTGATCTCATCTTATAGTCTATGATATTACTTTTCTTCTAAGGCTTCTGTGATTTTGTCATAGTGGTTGAGTAACTGTGACAGACAGGATCTTCCCGCTCTAAATCCATGTTGTCCTGGGTTGTGCAGCTCATTATTTTCCATAAAACTGGAGCTTGGATTACTAGTTACTTTCAAAAACCTTTATGTGTGATGTTACAGCCCAGCCTCCTGTGTTGATAGTACTTATAGTAACAATGAGAACCACAGTATATATACCCACCTACAACTTATTTAGAAAGTAGAAATCTGAACTATTGAGTTGGACAAACCGGAAAACAATTTTTCACTTGTGTTGCTTTGACAAACTAAACTAACCTAACCTCCCTAGGCCTAATACACGATATCTGAGGCCTAATATAGTACATATGTGTACTATACTAGGCCTAGGAATATTTAAGTATTTTTAGCTTCATTTATTTTAAAAGAATTCCTTACTAGTCAGTAAACTGCTATCTAAAAGCTAAGTACATACGAATTCGTGACTACTGATGGCCGTCACAATAGGTACTGTCTAAACAGGAGGACGGGTTGAATGTTAGTACATTCATTAGAATGTACGCATTCATACATTAGAATGGAATGTTAGTCTATAATTTTGTGCCAAAGCTTTACTACCCCCCTTGTGCAGCGGAGCTATATCTGCAGATTTAAGTGCTGCTGGTATCTCCCCTGTATCCAGGCTCTTTCTCCATATTACACTGAGTGCTCTCGCTACTGGTACTTTACACTTCTTTATGAATATTGTATTCCACGAGTCAGACCCAGGGGCTGAGTGCATGGACATATACGCTAATACAAAAACGCTTACAAAGTAGATACGGGAAGTAGAGGACCAGAAAGGAACTACCAGGAGAAAGCGCCAAACCATTACAACTATATACCACTGGGGGAAAGGATCCGGATATGGATTTGGGATGGGACGGGGAGGAAGAAATGGTGCCCAACCACTTATGGATGGTCGGGGATTGAACGGCGACCAGCATGAAGCGAGACCGTCGCTCTACCGTCCAGTCCAAGTGGTTGGAGGTGCCGCTCATCCGTCACAGCAGTGTGGAGAGTACCTGCACGCACCACCACGCACGCACACAAAAAAGAACTCCTCCAGGCGGAGTGAAGGCTGAGCCAGTCATGAACGAGACATTGTCGTGCACTGGAGCGAGGGGCTGCACCGACCAGCCATCACTGGGGTGTAACCTGGTGGTGGTAATGTTTGGCTGCAGCCAGGTACTCCTACACCTGCACACTGTACACTCCGTCACCCACACCTGCACCACGTACAGTGTACACTCCGTCACCCACACCTGCACCACGTACAGTGCACACTCCGTCACCCACACCTGCACCACGTACAGTACACAGTCCGGTACAGCGGGTCCAGTCAGCTTGTTCAAAGTTTTGTGGTTAAGACTTGCTATTGAAATCCTGACGGTGCGGATCTTGGTAATGGAGGAGAGGAATGTGGTGGACCTGCTGGGGGAGGGTGGACCTGCTGGGGGAGGGTGGACTTGCTGGGGGAGGGTGGACCTGCTGGGGGAGGGTGGGCCTGCTGGGGGAGGGTGGACCTGCTGGGGGAGGGTGGACCTGCTGGGGGAGGGTGGGCCTGCTGGGGGAGGGTGGGCCTGCTGGGGGAGGGTGGACCTGCTGGGGGAGGGTGGACCTGCTGGGGGAGGGTGGACCTGCTGGGGGAGGGTGGACCTGCTGGGGGAGGGTGGACTTGCTGGGGGAGGGTGGACTTGCTGGGGGAGGGTGGACCTGCTGGGGGAGGGTGGGCCTGCTGGGGGAGGGTGGACCTGCTGGGGGAGGGTGGACCTGCTGGGGGAGGGTGGACCTGCTGGGGAGGGTGGACCTGCTGGGGGAGGGTGGACCTGCTGGGGGAGGGTGGGCCTGCTGGGGGAGGGTGGACCTGCTGGGGGAGGGTGGACCTGCTGGGGGAGGGTGGACCTGCTGGGGGAGGGTGGACCTGCTGGGGGAGGGTGGACCTGCTGGGGGAGGGTGGACCTGCTGGGGGAGGGTGGGCCTGCTGGGGGAGGGTGGGCCTGCTGGGGGAGGGTGGACCTGCTGGGGGAGGGTGGGCCTGCTGGGGAGGGTGGGCCTGCTGGGGGAGGGTGGACCTGCTGCTGGGGGAGGGTGGACCTGCTGCTGGGGAGGGTGGACCTGCTGCTGGGGAGGGTGGACCTGCTGCTGGGGGAGGGTGGGCCTGCTGCTGGGGGAGGGTGGACCTGCTGGGGGAGGGTGGGCCTGCTGGGGGAGGGTTAGCCTGCTGCTGGGGGAGGGTGGACCTGCTGCTGGGGGAGGGTGGGCCTGCTGCTGGGGGAGGGTAGGCCTGCTGCTGGGGGAGGGTAGGCCTGCTGCTGGGGGAGGGTAGGCCTGCTGCTGGGGGAGGGTGGACCTGCTGCTGGGGGAGGGTGGACCTGCTGCTGGGGGAGGGTGGGCCTGCTGCTGGGGGAGGGTGGGCCTGCTGCTGGGGGAGGTTAGGCCTGCTGCTGGGGGAGGGTGGGCCTGCTGCTGGGGGAGGGTGGGCCTGCTGCTGGGGGAGGGTGGGCCTGCTGCTGGGGGAGGGTGGGCCTGCTGCTGGGGGAGGGTGGGCCTGCTGCTGGGGGAGGGTAGGCCTGCTGCTGGGGGAGGGTGGGCCTGCTGCTGGGGGAGGGTAGGCCTGATGCTGGGGGAGGGTAGGCCTGCTGCTGGGGGAGGGTAGGCCTGCTGCTGGGGGAGGGTGGGCCTGCTGGGGGAGGGTGGGCCTGCTGCTGGGGGGAGGGTAGGCCTGCTGCTGGGGGAGGGTGGGCCTGCTGCTGGGGGAGGGTGGGCCTGCTGCTGGGGGAGGGTGGACCTGCTGGGGGAGGGTGGGCCTGCTGGGGAGGGTGGGCCTGCTGGGGGAGGGTGGGCCTGCTGGGGGAGGGTGGGCCTGCTGGGGGAGGGTGGGCCTGCTGGGGGAAGGGGGCCTGCTGGGGGAGGGTGGGCCTGCTGGGGGAGGGTAGGCCTGCTGGGGGAGGGTGGGCCTGCTGGGGGAGGGTGGGCCTGCTGGGGGAGGGTGGGCCTGCTGGGGGAGGGTGGGCCTGCTGGGGAAAGGTGGGCCTGCTGGGGGAGGGTAGGCCTGCTGGGGGAGGGTGGGCCTGCTGGGGGAGGGTGGGCCTGCTGGGGGGGAGGGTGGGCCTGCTGGGGGAGGGTAGGCCTGCTGCTGGGGGAGGGTGGGCCTGCTGGGGAGGGTGGACCTGCTGCTGGGGGAGGGTGGACCTGCTGGGGGAGGGTAGGCCTGCTGGGGGAGGGTGGACCTGCTGGGGGAGGGTGGGCCTGCTGGGGGAGGGTGGGCCTGCTGGGGGAGGGTAGGCCTGCTGGGGGAGGGTGGGCCTGCTGGGGGAGGGTGGGCCTGCTGGGGGAGGGTGAGCCTGCTGGGGGAGGGTAGGCCTGCTGGGGGAGGGTAGGCCTGCTGGGGGAGGGTAGGCCTGCTGGGGGAGGGTAGGCCTGCTGGGGGGGGGAGGGAGGGTCTGCTGGAGAAAGGAGCAGGGGGCGTGCTGGCAGAGGGGTGGTGTTCCGTAGGGCAGTACCCCAGCTCCCCTGCGAACACCACCCCCGCCCGGAGCACCCTGCCCCCCACCACACACCTGCTACACACAGTCACATATATGCCAATACACACAACCCTACACGTACCAAATCAGCGCTCAGCTCTGGAGGGCTGTCATCTATACCCCTCAACTTTCTCTGGTCTTACCTTAGTCCCTGTACGTCCATAGTGTCCACGGATGCTTGTCTTCGCTACACTCCGTCCTCACACACCAAACATACGGACACTGATAAAGTATTCTCCTGTTTTTAAGTTAATATCCAAGAAGTGCCTCACATTTGCCCTGGAGCAGGAGCACGCGCAGTACACACCTCACATGGTCAGCACAACACTGAGAGGCTCTTCACTCCCCCGTCTGCTCCCACCACTCACATACTTGCCACACACTTCCAACGGCTCTCACACCTCACTATTTTCATCCCTCGAAGGTAAAGAAACGAACTGAAATTAGCTGTCTAGGCTATGATGTTATCGGATTCTGGATCTGTTAATGGATGTGAGTTTGTATATAATGATGTTGTAAACGTTTTGGGCCACGATGTTATTGGAGTGGTTGTCAACGCCGTGACGCTGGGGTCCTCAGCCATTGTTGCCAGATTGTCTCGCCAGACATTTAAAACTATACTGTTTAAGTCCCTATTGTTCTACTATTAAGTGTCATGTTATTAACAAAAAAATATGACTTTTTTACCTCTACGCCACCATTCAACAAAACTGTCTATTATGTGAGTAAACGAGCTGATATTGAGCGCGTTAAATCAAATAAAAATAGATGATTGAGTACGCTTGGCGTCGCAGCATCTTACGCCAAACTGACCACTACTACGCAATGATTCACGCACTCGACGCAATTGATGTCTCTGGCCAAAACGTCGGGACGGGTATAACTCTACACTCCTAAAAAGGTAAGCTGTGGCGTCCGTCTCAAGGAGAAGACGGGCAGACTCAGCCCCCACCACCCCCTCCTCTTCCTTAATGGGTCTCAAACCATTAAAGTCTAGGGGTATCCTCCCCTTTTTTTTACTCAGTGAGTAATGTGAGTACTGGTGAGTATGCGACCTCGCGCCTGACAAGACCTGTACCTGCCCACAATGGGGGGTAAACACGATATAATTACGCCACCCATTCTCCGTGTGAGAATGGGTTGCTTATAGGAGCCTTATAGGAGGAGGAGGAGGGCTTATAGGAGCCCTATAAGAGGAGGAGGGCTTATAGGAGCGCTGAGCCAGGGGTGGTGGTTGACTTCAAGAGTCAGTCAGCCCTGGTCAGGTAGTGAAGGGTGCCCTCAGGGCAGGCCGGGGCCCATACCCACCACCCCTAAAACCACCACCAAAAACCCTACACCCACCATCACCACCCAACTCTCCCCCTTCACACGGAGTTGTTCATTCATTTACTCACCTACTCATTCATTCACGCACCTACTCATTTATTCACTCACCTACTCAGTGAGTCTCCGTGGTGTAGTGGTAAGACACTCGCCTGGCGTTCCGCGAGCGCTATGTCATGGGTTCGTATCCTGGCCGGGGAGGATTTACTGGGCGCAATTCCTTAACTGTAGCCTCTGTTTAACGCAACAGTAAAATGTGTACTTGGATGAAAAAACGATTCTTCGCGGCAGGGGATCGTATTCCAGGGACCATAGGATTAAGGACTTGCCCGAAACGCTACGCGTACTAGTGGCTGTACAAGAATGTATGTATGTACTCATTAATTCACCGACTCATTTATTCACTCAAGTACTCATTCATTCACCTCCACTTTCATTCACTCCACTACTCATTTATTTATTCACTCACCTACTCATTCATTCACCTCATTCATTCATTCACTCATTGGTGTACTAATGTTTGCAAATAGTAGCCACTGGCGACAGGTGCCATAGGCTGGTGGTGAGGCCTAATGGCCACACACCTGCAGCCTAGTGGTCACACACCTGCAGCCTAGTGGCCACACACCTGCAGCCTAGTGGTCACACACCTGCAGCCTAGTGGCCACACACCTGCAGCCTAGTGGCCACACACCTGCAGCCTAGTGGCCACACACCTGCAGCCTAGTGGCCACACACCTGCAGCCTAGTGGCCACACACCTGCAGCCTAGTGGCCACACACCTGCAGCCTAGTGGCCACACACCTGCAGCCTAGTGGCCACACACCTGCAGCCTAGTGGCCACACACCTGCAGCCTAGTGGCCACACACCTGCAGCCTAGTGGCCACACACCTGCAGCCTAGTGGCCACACACCTGCAGCCTTGTGGCCACACACCTGCAGCCTTGTGGCCACACACTTGCAGCCTAGTGGCCACACACCTGCAGCCTAGTGGCCACACACCTGCAGCCTAGTGGCCACACACCTGCAGCCTAGTGGCCACACACCTGCAGCCTAGTGGCCACACACCTGCAGCCTAGTGGCCACACACCTGCAGCCTAGTGGCCACACACCTGCAGCCTAGTGGCCACACACCTGCAGCCTAGTGGCCACACACCTGCAGCCTAGTGGCCACACACCTGCAGCCTAGTGGCCACACACCTGCAGCCTAGTGGCCACACACCTGCAGCCTAGTGGCCACACACCTGCAGCCTTGTGGCCACACACCTGCAGCCTAGTGGCCACACACCTGCAGCCTAGTGGCCACACACCTGCAGCCTAGTGGCCACACACCTGCAGCCTAGTGGCCACACACCTGCAGCCTAGTGGCCACACACCTGCAGCCTAGTGGCCACACACCTGCAGCCTTGTGGCCACACACCTGCAGCCTAGTGGCCACACACCTGCAGCGTAGTGGCCACACACCTGCAGCCTAGTGGCCACACACCTGCAGCCTAGTGGCCACACACCTGCAGCCTAGTGGCCACACACCTGCAGCCTAGTGGCCACACACCTGCAGCCTAGTGGCCACACACCTGCAGCCTAGTGGCCACACACCTGCAGCCTAGTGGCCACACACCTGCAGCCTAGTGGCCACACACCTGCAGCCTAGTGGCCACACACCTGCAGCCTAGTGGCCACACACCTGCAGCCTAGTGGCCACACACCTGCAGCCTAGTGGCCACACACCTGCAGCCTAGTGGCCACACACCTGCAGCCTAGTGGCCACACACCTGCAGCCTAGTGGCCACACACCTGCAGCCTAGTGGCCACACACCTGCAGCCTAGTGGCCACACACCTGCAGCCTAGTGGCCACACACCTGCAGCCTAGTGGCCACACACCTGCAGCCTTGTGGCCACACACCTGCAGCCTAGTGGCCACACACCTGCAGCCTAGTGGCCACACACCTGCAGCCTAGTGGCCACACACCTGCAGCCTTGTGGCCACACACCTGCAGCCTAGTGGCCACACACCTGCAGCCTAGTGGCCACACACCTGCAGCCTAGTGGCCACACACCTGCAGCCTAGTGGCCACACACCTGCAGCCTAGTGGCCACACACCTGCAGCCTAGTGGCCACACACCTGCAGCCTAGTGGCCACACACCTGCAGCCTAGTGGCCACACACCTGCAGCCTAGTGGCCACACACCTGCAGCCTAGTGGCCACACACCTGCAGCCTAGTGGCCACACACCTGCAGCCTAGTGGCCACACACCTGCAGCCTAGTGGCCACACACCTGCAGCCTAGTGGCCACACACCTGCAGCCTAGTGGCCACACACCTGCAGCCTAGGGGCCACACACCTGCAGCCTAGTGGCCACACACCTGCAGCCTAGGGGCCACACACCTGCAGCCTTGTGGCCACACACCTGCAGCCTAGTGGCCACACACCTGCAGCCTAGTGGCCACACACCTGCAGCCTAGTGGCCACACACCTGCAGCCTAGTGGCCACACACCTGCAGCCTAGTGGCCACACACCTGCAGCCTAGTGGCCACACACCTGCAGCCTTGTGGCCACACACCTGCAGCCTAGTGGCCACACACCTGCAGCCTTGTGGTCACACACCTGCAGCCTTGTGGCCACACACCTGCAGCCTAGGGGCCACACACCTGCAGCCTTGTGGCCACACACCTGCAGCCTAGTGGCCACACACCTGCAGCCTAGTGGCCACACACCTGCAGCCTAGGGGCCACACACCTGCAGCCTAGTGGCCACACACCTGCAGCCTAGTGGCCACACACCTGCAGCCTAGGGGCCACACACCTGCAGCCTAGTGGCCACACACCTGCAGCCTAGTGGCCACACACCTGCAGCCTAGTGGCCACACACCTGCAGCCTAGTGGCCACACACCTGCAGCCTAGTGGCCACACACCTGCAGCCTAGTGGCCACACACCTGCAGCCTAGTGGCCACACACCTGCAGCCTAGTGGCCACTCACCTGCAGCCTAGTGGCCACACACCTGCAGCCTAGTGGCCACACACCTGCAGCCTAGTGGTCACACACCTGCAGCCTAGTGGCCACACACCTGCAGCCTAGTGGCCACACACCTGCAGCCTAGTGGCCACACACCTGCAGCCTAGTGGCCACACACCTGCAGCCTAGTGGCCACACACCTGCTGCCTAGTGGCCACACACCTGCAGCCTAGTGGCCACACACCTGCAGCCTAGTGGCCACACACCTGCAGCCTAGTGGCCACACACCTGCAGCCTAGTGGCCACACACCTGCAGCCTAGTGGCCACACACCTGCAGCCTAGTGGCCACACACCTGCAGCCTAGTGGCCACACACCTGCAGCCTAGTGGCCACACACCTGCAGCCTAGTGGCCACACACCTGCAGCCTAGTGGCCACACACCTGCAGCCTAGTGGCCACACACCTGCAGCCTAGTGGCCACACACCTGCAGCCTAGTGGCCACACACCTGCAGCCTAGTGGCCACACACCTGCAGCCTAGGGGCCACACACCTGCAGCCTTGTGGCCACACACCTGCAGCCTTGTGGCCACACACCTGCAGCCTAGTGGCCACACACCTGCAGCCTTGTGGCCACACACCTGCAGCCTTGTGGTCACACACCTGCAGCCTTGTGGCCACACACCTGCAGCCTTGTGGTCACACACCTGCAGCCTTGTGGCCACACACCTGCAGCCTAGTGGCCACACACCTGCAGCCTAGTGGCCACACACCTGCAGCCTAGTGGCCACACACCTGCAGCCTAGTGGCCACACACCTGCAGCCTAGTGGCCACACACCTGCAGCCTAGTGGCCACACACCTGCAGCCTAGTGGCCACACACCTGCAGCCTAGTGGCCACACACCTGCAGCCTAGTGGCCACACACCTGCAGCCTAGTGGCCACACACCTGCAGCCTTGTGGCCACACACCTGCAGCCTAGTGGCCACACACCTGCAGCCTAGTGGCCACACACCTGCAGCCTTGTGGCCACACACCTGCAGCCTTGTGGCCACACACC